TTGTGATTTGCTCATATCATAAGTTGTATGTCAAAATTCTACTTGATTTTACTTTATGCTTCCAGAATATATAGTTTTGTCATAACAAAAGCACCCAACACTTGCACCCACACATATTTTTGATAAAAATTCACACTGAAATATTTGTTTCACATGTTATAAAGTAACCCATAAAATTTGAGATCTAGAGAATCAAGTTTTTCAAGTAAAACTTTTACATCTTTCAAAGCAGGAAAATGTTTCTAGTTGATTCAACATGCCTGAACAATATATAAATAATACCCTCTCCTCCTTGCCTTGGCCTATTGGAAGAAACTGAATTGAGTACATGCAAGATTGACAGGAAATGGAGTCCTTCACTTATCACAGAAAAATGAAGGGGGTTATTCATTAAGGAGTATGTTGTAAATTCTCACTGTCTTTCTGCTCCACTATGAATTTAAATTTTTTATCTCCTGACTGCCTAAGAAAGGAGATTAAAAAAAAAAAAAAAAAAAAAAAAAAAAAGAAAGAGAAAAAAGAGCGGGGAGGGGGAAGGTATGAAAGGAAGAGAAAAAGGTGAAAGGTGGTGAGGAGAAGCAAAACAGAATGGGGAAATGTGAAATGGTGTGGAGGTGACAGGAGTGGGGGAAGGTGATAAAGGAGGGGGAAGGCAATGAAAAAAGTGCTGGGGAAAGAAAGAGTAAAAGAGGGGGAAAAGAAAGTAAGGGGGAAAAGGAGAGGGAAAAGAGAACAAAAAAAGAGAACAGGGGAGGAGAAAAAAGAGGGGAGTAGGACAAGAAAAAAAGAGAGGAAGGGGGAAAAAAGAGAGAGAAAAAAGGAGAAAAGTAGTTGTGTCTGAAAAACACCCTGCATTTATTTGATTGACTCAAGCTCTGGAGCAAGAAGAAAACACTTCTCACTAGTTAGAGAATGTCCAGTGTTTCTTTCTGCGACTTTAACATTAGACTGAACTTGGATGCCTAAGCAGAGACATTTTTAACATTATTCAGAATATTTTGACTATACAGATTGCCATACTAGACCAGGCTGTAAACCAGTCCAGCAACAATTTGCTTGGATCAGCCAGCACTGTATCTTGTCCTCAAGACAACTAACATGATATAGCCTATCAGTACCATACAGAATATGGTAGATGGTAGTCTAAGTATTTAATCCTAATTGTTAGCGATTGTTTCAAAGTATACACTAGAAATACTTTTTCTAGCTTGTTTCCCTTCATTTGTTTCAAAAATCTGTTTGTAATAATTGGAACTTTGGACAGTATTACTATAAGCACCCCAGGAGATTTATTCATCTTGAATATCACAAGCAATGGTCAGATCCAATTAAGGATTAAACAGAAACTTGACAAGTTATGAAATTCCTTCTATGTATAGTCTTAATTGCATTGTGCATGCCATTGTTTTTGAGTATGCAACATGAATAATTCTGTCAATCTGTAAAATGAGAACTTCAAAACAAATACCAACCTCTCAGCACCTTTTGAGCCATTACTACATGTAAAACGGAAGCAACACAATAAGAATTGTCTTCAATATGTATGCATTTTACAACTTAGTTCCTATGGGTTCACCTCTAAGTAATCAAGAAAAAAAATTCTCTCTGACCATTTTGTAGTATCAGCCACATGCAGGGAAATAACCTCCACAACAAGCAGATTCAATCCTATCTTGTATTATTTGATACTCAACAGCCCTGAGATTCTCTCACCTGACAAGGAAGCATATAAAGCATCAAAATGGTGGGTTTGTATTTTGGATTGGATCTCTGAGATCACTCTAAGCCTGTTTGCACATACACTTCTCCAGATCTGCCTCCACATATCAAAGGAAGTATCTGCTAGCTACTTGCTAGTCCTTACCTCCTAGACCTCTTATTTTCACCTGTCCCAACGCTGAGATCACAGCATCAAGTTGTGAAGCTAGCCAAGTACCTAAGGGCTAAATTCAAGCCAGTTTCCATTATTTCTGCATGTGCTAGTCAGAAAACTAGTCAGCTTCAGTCTTGCAGCAAATTTTTTTCTGAAAACTAGCTCCTGATTTCAGATTTAGAGTACAAGACAGACTCACGATTTCAGATCTACAGCACAAAACAGAAATATAAGTAAGAATCCAATATATAGGAACTTCAAAAACTTCAGTTAAAATTTTGGTATTAAACTGCATTTTTTTGATAGCTGTATATTTATTACTGATGTTTTTAATGTGAGAACCCCTGCAAACACAGAAAAGGAGTGGGCCAAATCAAAAAGGAAACAAAACACCTGACTCATATCAAGTGACAGATAATAGAAACTTGTGATATTAAAAATGCCTGCTAACTTGTAAGTAGCTTAAAAATTCTAATTAATGCCAGTGATTTAGCTTTTTTTTATTTTTTTTTTTACTCCAATCTATAAGAGCACTCATCTGCAAGCATACAGCAGGCAATGTGAAAATAGCCTATGGTAAAACCTACCAACCTGCCAATGACAGCATCTCTGTGTTTTCAGTCCATAAGCCAGCCTGAGAACTGACCACAGCTTTACCACTGCTGAAGGGCTTGGGGACCCACCCCTTCACAAAGCAGCTCTCACAGCACAGCCATGCTCTGTCAAGTGGATAGTTATCTGGCACATTCAAAAATACACGCAAATCAGTTTCTAAGAGACTGACAAACAAAACATACATATTTTGATAATAATGCCTGAAAGCAATACATGAGTTTTAAAGGAACTGAATGAGGAGTGAAGGCTTACAAAAAAACCCAAAAAAAACCGAAAACGCAACAAGAAACCCCCACCAAAAACAAACGGGAAAAAAAAAAAAAAGAAGCCACTCCCAGGGACTACTGGGAACCATACCCAACTCGAAACAGCTGGAAGTCGAAACTAACAAAATGTCAGCACTTGACCACTTCCCATGGCTGGACACCCAAAGGTGTAGAAATGACAGCGCCAGCGGGGCAGCGTAAAGTCCTGAGGGGCTCTGCCCCTCCGCATTCAGCTATGTTCCCACCACCGGCATGCCGCCCGGCCCTTTAACCCGGGCCCTGTGACAGGCGGGAGGCACCAGCCCCGGGACGGCACCACTCGCTGTCCGCTGGGGCTCGGGCTCCCGGCGCCACGGGAAACTTTGGCGGTCGGGGAGCGCGCCGTACCCCAGCCCCGGCTAAGCTCGTCCCTCCCGTCGGCCTCGCACAGGATACAAAGTCCCGGCGGGGGGACCGGAGGATCAGCCGTACCCACCCCCTCAGGCGGCGGCGGTAGCGCTCAGACAGGGACGAGGAGGGCGGGATGGATCTACCCCCGCCTCCCAACGCTGCAGCCGCCGCAGCCTGCAGGGGAAGAGCTGCTTCTGGCACCCGCACGCCCGCGGGCCCGGGCAGTGCTAAAGCGGCCCCCGAGAGTCCGAGAGCCCGCCTCGAGGCATCCGCGGGAGGCGCCGCGCCTCGGGCAGTGGGCAGGGAAGCAGCGGCGCCGCACGTGTGCCCAAGCAGAGGCAGCGCAGAGCGCGGTCGGACGAGCGTCCGACCAAAG